CTTGCCCTGGGCATCTGCGCCAGCCCTGCGCAGTCAGAGGTGGGACTAAAGTGAACGGCGGGACACCAGTTGGCGTTCAGAGAGCTGGAGCCATGGTCGGTGCCGGGAAAACCCACAGGCTCGGGCTCAGAAAGGGTGAGAGTGAGAACAGTTCATGCAGAGGATGCCTCGTTGTGGGGAGAAGCGTACATTAGAGACAAGAAGAGTGTGGGAGTGGATAATCGTGCAGCTGCTGCAGAGAACAGTGGGACGGTTCCTCAAAACATTAAATATGGGGCAATTCCATTTCTGGGCGTATGCCCAAAGGGATGGAGCGTTGAGTCTGGAAGGGAGTTATACGTCCACATTCATGGCAGCGTTATTTACAGTGGCCAGCAGACGGGGTAACCCCAGTGTCCCTGGACAGATGAACGGGTAAACAAAACGTGCTCTGTCCACACGGTGGAGTATTATACAGCCCCGAAAAGGAAGGAAATCCTGACACGAGCTGCCGGACGGATGAGCCCCGAGGACATCAGGCTTAGTGAAGTAAGCCAGGCATAAAGGACAGATACTGTGTGATTTCAGTGACGTGTGAGGTCCCCAGAGGAAGCACATTCACAGGGACAGAGAGAAGAGTGGTGGGTGCAGGGCTGGGGGAGGGGTAGGTGTCAGCGTTTAGTGGGGACAGAGTTTCAGTTTGGGACGAGGGAAGCTCTGGGGACAGGTGGTGGTGGCGGTTGCACAGCAGTGTGAAAATGCTTGATGCTACTGAACTGTACTTAAAAAATCATTAAAATGGGAAATCTTGTGTTATCTATTTTCCCACAATTAAAGAAAAAATAAATTTGAAAAAAGTAAAGGTTGAAAGTCAATGAGCTAATAAGCACACCTCTGAAAAAGTTAGGCAAACAGCAACCCCAAAGAGGTTAAAAGCAAGGCGATAATAAATAATAAACTAATGAATAACGTATAAACTAATGTATCGACTAGTTAGCGTATAAACTCATGAAATAGAAAGTAATGATGCCATGAGGAGGCCCATAAGGGACCAGCGTCAGAGGTGACAGCCGGTTCCAGGAACCGAGTCACCCCATGTCCCCAGGACTCTCTTGGATTCAGCACTGAAAATCTTGAGTCCTGGGAAACCGGCCTCAATCCCCGGCAAACGGCGCCGGTCAACCCTGTCAGCCCCTGCAGATGCTCGGGAGGCTGCAAGAAGACACTACGAACAACTTTCGCCGTTAGAAACTTTAGATATGATGGACAGATTCCTAGAATAATACCATTAATCAGAGCGTAACCCAAACAAACAGAGCCTAGCGACCAAAGCAACTGAGTCCAGAGTCGGAAATCTCCCTGTCCACACTCCTTGTCCCGGCCCCGCCCCCCAGACACCTGTGACCCCCAGCCCGTGTCATTTCCGGGGCCTCTGCACGCCCCAAGCCCGGCTTGTTCACCCCGGGGGTGCAGGTTAAGGAACCGTTTCCAAAGCTGCCCCTCCATGTCCGGCGCCGGCTCTGGGGTGCTGGGAGTTCTGGGACACTCCCAGAGGTTGCTGGAGGGTCACAGGGAGGGGGGCGGCTGTGGCAGAGGGGTGGGTGCTAGGAGGGCTCCTCCAGGGTAGGAGCCGGCACTGCCATCGTGGGGAGGCTCCTCAGGCTCAAACCGCACCCTCCAGGGCCCAGGCTGCGGCTGCGGGGGCCGGAGGGTCCCTCTGGTTCCTGCGTCCAGTCTGGACGGGCCTATCTGGGCATCTCGTGGCGCCGTCTGCTGCCTGCTCACCTGGCCTAATTGCTCCAAGATCTCAATCACCGCAGTGCAAATAGCAGGTGTCGGCAGGCGGGCAGAGCTGGCCTCGCTTGGGCTACATGTGGCTTTCGGGTGAGTTTCCCAGGGTCAGTGGATTGGGGGGCAGAAGCGCCGTTCCGCCGTGGTTGCCCAGCACCATGCTCACTGCCGGATGTCAGCCCATCCGGTTGGTTTCTCCCTCAAACCTTCTGGTAACCACAGCAGCTGGTTTAGCCCTGGAGCCCCGGTGCTGGGAGCACCCTGTGCACCCTGTCGTGGGCACCCTCCCTGCCTCTGTCCTTCGTCCTGTTGGAGCTGGACAGAGCTGGCTGAGCTCCAGGGGATAGTCACGCCACCTGGGCACCCCACCTGGGCACCCGACCTGGATATCCCACCTGGGGATCCTACCTGGGCATCCTACCTGGGCACCCCACCTGAGCATCACCTGGGCATCCTACCTGGGCACCCAACCTGGACATCCCACCTGGTCCTAACCTGGGCCCATCTAACCGTGGGCAGCCCCACCTGGCATACACGGGCATCCAAAAAACTGGGCACCCCCACCTGAGCATCCACCTGGCCATCCTAACGTGCGGCACCGCCACCTGGGCAATCCTACCTGGGCACCCACCTGAGCATCCCACCTGGGCATCCCACCTGGGCACCCAACCTGGACATCCCACCTGGGCATCCTACCTGGGCACCCCACCATGGGCACCACCCTGGGTCCGCCACTGGGCACCTCCTTCTCATCTCGTTGTGTAGCCGATCCAAATACTTGCCCTGTCATGAATCTCCGTGCGTGTGCGTGTTTACTGGTGGTGTGTGTGCACAATGACTCTACAGTGTTAGTCACCTGGCGCCAGCTGTGGCCATCACTCCTTTCCAGCGACCGGTATTGTTTGGCCGGGGCCCTGTCAGCCCCTAGGGCACGGCTCGAGGTCTGAGGGCCGGTGAACAAACAGCCCTGAGTTGGTGGCCCTTCTGCGCGCTGGGCTCCCCGAGGCAGCAGCGACGGCACTGCAGGCGGGGGTGTCAGGACTGGGCAGCAGAGGCTCTGGGGGTGGGGAGTGGCAGGGGCATCGGGAAGATTCTTGCACTGCCGCGGTGCTGTGGTCTTGTGCATGCGTGAAGAGAGTCTGGTGCCCACAGGACACATACTGGGGACACACCGCATGTGCCCCTGAATGGGCATCGTGGGAAACACCTGCCCCTGGGAGCCCCGCCAGCCCCCACGCCCTGCCGAGAGAGCAGTGCAGGAGCCAGCAGAGTGTCAGTGCCAAGGGCCGGCGGTCCCTCCCCAGCCCCACGGTGCCGGCTGCAAACCTGACAGCCCGAGCCCTGCGGCAGGGAGCGGGGAAGGCTGTGCCCCAGCTGTCTCCCGAATGGAGGCTGCCTTAGTGAGTGTGTATGAGTATGTGCGTGCATGTGTGTGTGCCCTTGAGTGAGCATGCGTGTGTCTGCATGTGCCCATGAGTGTGCATCCGTGTGCATGCACCCATGAGTGTGCATTCCTGTGTGCATGTGCCTGTGAGTGTGCATTTGTGTGTGCCTGTGTGTGCATGCACTGTGAATGTGCATGCACCATGTGTGCATGCGCTGTGAGTGCATGTGTGTGTGTGCATGTGCGTGTGTGTGAGTGTGCTGTGAGTGTGCATGCACATTCTTGCTGAACATAGAAGCAGGTGGAAAGTAGCCCTGGGAGCTAGCAGGTGTGGCCTGGCCGCTCCCCTCTGTGCAGCGTCCCTCCAAAGTGCCCTTGGGACCTGCCGTCAGGCGCACGGGGCAGCGGCCACCCCACTGACCCGGGTCACGGCGTCCAGCCCCCGGCCACCCCACTGACTGACCAGGATCACAGCGTCCAGCCCCCGGCCACCCCACTGACCCGGGTCATGGCGTCCAGTCCCCGATCACCCCACTGACCTGGGTCACGGCGTCCAGCCCCCGGCCACCCCACTGACCCCGGTCATGGCATCCAGCCCCTGGCCACCCCACTGACCCCGGTCATGGCGTCCAGCCCCTGATCACCCCACTGACCTGGGTCACGGCGTCCAGCCCCTGATCACCCCACTGACCTGGGTCACGGCGTCCAGCCCCTGATCACCCCACTGACCTGGGTCACGGCGTCCAGCCCCCGATCACCCCACTGACCTGGGTCACGGCGTCCAGCCCCTGATCACCCCACTGACCTGGGTCACGGCGTCCAGCCCCTGATCACCCCACTGACCCGGGTCACGGCGTCCAGCCCCCGGCCACCCCACTGACCCGGGTCACGGCGTCCAGTCCCCGATCA